TCACCCTTTGGGTTCGGAACCCGAAAAATAAAATGAAAGTCATAGTCTATTCCTTCTGTAGTGGATGTAATAGAAATAAATAAGACTCATAGAATGTTAGAAGTGTAGGTACTAATCCTGGCGCTTTAGACCCCTTTCTTATAAATACTTCAATACCTATTTATAAATCAATTTAAATAAAAATGAAGAGTTTTTTAAGATAGATAAATACTAATATATTTTATCTGTTTGCACGCAGCTTTGCTCGCTTATAAGCTTTTGCTTTTAATTTGTATTTTATTGATAAAACAAAAGCATTTGACGTTAATCGGAAAGTTATTTCAAGGATAAAAAGTATAATAAAGTGTTAGTTCTTATATTGACGGATGAAGACAGCCTCTTAGTGCGCCTTCTCCCATCACCAAGTCGGATTGATGGTACTTTCTTGCACTAAAGCACCATAGAGAGGAAGACTTCTTGTAGTGCACTGATGTAGACCTTATGTAGGCCCACTAAGATGATAAGGGTATATTGCATTTTAGTAGATATCGAATATTATACTTTTGTCCTCTGAGCTCTACATAAATGGTGGATTATCAGTACTAAATTGAAACCATGTTAACCAGTATTGTGTAAACACAATTTCCACCATGATAAAACGTATGACGTCCTTCTGATCGATTTCAGTTACAGCAGCCACTACACTACCTTACTGCACATAAGATATTATAGTGCACAAGTGTACGCATAAGCACAAATGCACTCTCTATTCACTCTCTCATTTCACTCTCAAATTCCGATGGGACGATAATTTGACACGATCGCTGAGAGATCAGGCGTAGAGCTGACAGCTGTACGAGCTCCGCGAGTCACGGAGGTGAAACACCTCTACTTCCCATCTCCGGGCTTAGAAAGTCCCAGTAACACTGAGAACTGAAAGACTCAATAATAAAATTTGGGCCGACCTAGGAGTCGAATCTAGAGCCTCTATACAGCTACTAGCAGCTATTTTGACATTACAAACAGACACTTCAATTTTATTTATCTGTATAGATATATAAATAGGTAAAGACAAAACTATACAGTACCTTTTTTCTCCTCTGCTTATCAACCGATTTTCATCGTTTTTTGTTCAGTAGCTATTGACAAGCTATAGTGATAAAAATTTATTGTAAACTGTTTTTTTATGTGGAAAAGTATAATCGATTCATTGATGTTTCCCTAATATTTTCAATAATGATTATGGTCGAATTATAGTCAGTATTGATTCGTGAGTGCTTCGATGCACTCACAAAGGCATACACATATACGAAAATCGCGCGCAGCTTACAGAGAATGAAGAAGTGTAAGAATAGATATTTACTCGATAGCAACAAAAACAATACTCATAATATAATATGAAACCAATGATAAAAATATATTTTCTAGCAATCAAAGTAATGATATTTAAATCGGCTTATGACGCAAAGCTTAAGTATATATGGAGTAAGATCTTAATTTTGCATCACGTTATAATGATTATCAAAAATTGATTAAATTTCTATCTAATCAGATAAATTGTATATTTCAAATAAAAAAATAGGGCACACGTACAAAAGCATTACTTTATAAATTACATGAATATTCTCAATAATTTCAAAATTTTACTAAATTAGGTACATAAGTTGTTGTGTACTAATCTGTATAAGATACTATAGTTTTTTAACTATCCCACGGGAACTCTTCAATTTTCTGGGATAAAACGTACCTAAGATGTTGACCAGGGATATAAGGTACCACCATGCAAAATTTCATTTAAATCGGTCCAACAGTTTCGAAGATTAGCCCGTACAAACATACGAACAGACATACAGGCAAGCAGACAAACTTTTGATAACTATTGTTTTGGGGTCTATATTGTGTACATTATGCGTTACACACAAACAAAACTGTTTTTGTCTCTGTTGATCTATCCCACGGAAACCGTTCATTTTTCCGGGATGAAAAGTAACTTGTTGTTTGGCCGGCAACATAAGGTATCAGCATGCCAAATTTTACTAAATTAGGTGCATAAGTTGTTGTATACTAAGCTGTATAAGTTCCTATAGTTCTTTAATTATCCCCACGGAAACTCTTTAATTTTCCGGAATGAAAAGTATCTTACATGTTGACCGAGGACGTTAAGGTACGACCATGCAAAATTTCATTTAAATCGGTCCAATAGTTTAGGAGATTAGCCCGTACAAACAGACAGAGAAACAAAAAAATGAAAAAAATCTAGATTTGTTCTATTTTTCTTCTTACGGGATGGAAGAAGATGATTGACTCTGTTTTAGCATTTTTTTTCTATGTACAGACATTCGAATTTCGACCTCTACTGTTTTATTATAGTATAGACTAACGACTCACCCTCACTTCGCTCTGGTTCGTTCCTAGCTTCATTTCCCATACAAACTTTCATCCCCATTTTCACCCCTGTAAGGGATGATTTCCGGGATTAAATGTATCTTATGTCCTTCCCAGGGTCTCAAACTATCTTCTTACCAAATTTCATCTAAATCGGTTCAGTAGATGCAGAGATTACACCCTACAACGTCACAAGCTTACAAACTTTACCTCTTTGTAATATTATTAGTATAGATTATTCGTTCGTACACGAAGTACAATATAATATAAAATATCGATAAAATATTATCACCTCCCTAGTACGTTATCATATTTTTAGTATTGAGGCTCCCGAAAAACACATATAAAATTATGATATAATTTATTGATCAATTTTTTCTTTATCTTCTATAAATAGCTTTCCTTCCTTCCCAGTGATTTTGTTCGCGGAATTTAGTAATGCGAACCTCAATTATTTATTAACAATATTCTATTTAGATATTACAAAAGTTATATAATTCCAGTTATTGTATATATTTTTATAGGTATTTAAAATAAATTTCCCAAGACATCCATATACTGCCTTAGAACCAGTCTGCACATGGTTTGGGTCTTTGGTAGGATTGTATAAAAACCATATTCCATTGGTACGATTTCTAAAAGTAAAATTACATAGTATAAAAATATTGTACAAAACACCCCACGCTTTTTCCACAACAACATAAATGTTCTCGTTAATCATTTTATTCTTATATTAAAAATATTTTTTTACTTTTTAGCTCGGTTCATCATTTAAGCTTGTTTTTTTGTTTTTAAACTGCATATATTTAAGATGGGAGTGAGCCTCGTTTAAATTTGTCGCTCACGTTTACAATTTGTTTACAAATACATCTCTCTGTCAACTCTAGCAGTCATAAAATAAATTTAATGAGAATAACATATTTTAACATTCTATTTGTTATAAAATTCAATTTTCCTTTTATCTTATTCGCAAATGCTTGGTTCGCAGTAAAATGAACATATTATTATTATGAATTTTTTCTTCGCTGTTTTCATGTTTTTTCTGGCAAACTTAAATTAATTTATATGGAAAATGAGGAGTTATCGGCAGCAGAACTAAAAAATAAACAGTGTTACAAAAATACTTTTAAATATGGTTCAAAATAATATTTTTTTAGGTGTCCTATGTAGTATTATCACAAAATAAATTCATTAAGTATGTTATAAATTTTAACGAGAATACTGACAAATGCAGGGCTTGTTAAAGAAATACCAATATCCATGGCGAACGGTTCCGAAATGAAAGCGCCATCTCATGGCAAATTACAACATACCATTTAATATCTATAATTTACCATTTAATTTTAGCCGTGTAGCGCCCGACTTAGAATAGAGCTACCCCATCTCGTCCTTGTATTGAGAACCTCCTCCTTTTCGGAAGTCGGTTAAAAAGATTTCTGTCTAGAGGCCTTCGTTAGATGACTGTATGGATTAATATACTGTGCATTGTCGCAGCGCCAGCTCTAGGCCTTCATAAGAGTAGAACGAGATTGTCTGTTCAGTGCTCATTGGTCGACGCTATCACATTACATAAATTGTATTTGCCTGTATATAATAAATAAATAATAATAATCAAATCTTTTTTCAAGAATCAACTTTTATTGCAAAAACCATCCATTAAGTTTAAATTAAATTAAGTAGCTCTAAAGAAATTAAAATTTTCAGTTCAATTCAATTCTCTTATTAATGGATTTTCAAAGCGTGCCAGTTCCAGTGCATCAAAATTTTATTTCTCGTTCCAAATAGATTTTTGCATTTGGTATTTTGTCGCCCCTTAACACCTGGCGCCGAGCGAGTGCTCCTCTCGCTCTACCCCCGGGTCCTGTCAGATTAAAAGAAAAAATAGTTCAAATAAATGTCAATAGATGGCGCTGCTCTTAAGATTTATTATTGAATGAAGAAATGGAATTTTAACACAAGCCTTGATTGAAAAATCAGCGATTAGGTGATGTTTGTATTGTTTATTCATAGAAGGCATTGTTTGAAAATATTAAATTACTTATGCCTGTTACAATTTATATTAACAAAAATTTAATTTTACCGATTGTTATTTTGTATACACAATATAATTATTATACACAATTTTATAAAATAAAATAATTCGGGTAGAAAATATATACATAGGTATATCGCTTATATTTATTTTTCTCTCCACCATTGTTTTATTTCCTATCATTATTAACATTTTTAATATAATTATTAATATTAATATAATTAATTGGAAATGTTTTAGCAGGTTTATATTATTGACTTTTACATGTTATTTATAATATTTGATGAGAAAAAATACATTATTGCAGTCATTAGCTTATAAAGTGCAATTATAGGGATCATTTCAAGTTTGCGAACATAGCAGGGGTTTGAACTGCTCAAAATTGAAATTAAATTACCTAAAAACTAATTTTTTTTTAATTAAAGTATTACCAAGTTATAGAAAAAATAAAATAATAATATAGAAAATTATTTTTCTATGCCTGACAATGTAAACAATGTATCAAAAATGAAAAAAAATATATACATTTACTTTAATAGATTTAATATTTATAAAATAAAACGCCAGATACAAACAGAAAATGTCTTTATATAGTAAACAATTATGGTATATTAGCTAGATAATCCTTGACATGGGCGGGTTCCAGCCTTCGGAAACCACTTGCATCACAGATCCCTACTTCAATGTTGTCAGCTGTCATTTGACCTTCAAATCCCTCTTTAAGCGTCAGGATCGCGGTGTGGACAGCATCATCGAGCTCTAATTCTTCTGTGTATCTGAAATAATTATAATAAAATTTTATTACTCATTTCTTATATCTAGCGAAAACCCTCAAAGCATTTTAAATAAAACTATCTTTTCGGATTTTGTCGCGGATTTATTTGTATTTTTGTTTCCCAACGTTTCGAATGCTTTACAGCATCCATGGTCACGGGAGAGACTGAGGTGTTACATGTCTTAAACATATTATAGTTGTTACAGACAGCCTACCCACAATTAACAAAATGAAAATTGCACCAATTACATTACAATATTTTAACTTTGAATATTTTTATAATTTTAATTATAATTGAATATGGAAAATTATTTATTTAATTTTTGCTATTATTTTTATAATTATTACAATTTTAAAAATATTAATTAGCAATCTATATTTAGTGTTGCCATTATTATATTTATAACCATAAGAAAAATATAAAATATAGTATTAATTATTTAAGCCACAATTGATCTACGTGTAATTTGAAAAAGTTAAGATTAATAAAAAAATAATAATTTAAATTTAAATTTGCTATTATTTAAAAAACAAATTATTAAGCAACACATTACTACATACATTTACAAATGAAAAAGTGAAAAATATTATTAATCAGAAATGCTATCATTTTGATCTACACAGTAAGAACTTACTACATCTACCTGTCTGTTATGTTTAGATTTATTATTAGATTTTATTATATTAATAACAGGATCCCATGACGATGGTAGTACCCAGCCATCTTCCCTATTGAAATTAGGATGTTTTTTAATTTCTATGGCTTCTCGAATCATTCTAGGGCGATATCGGTTTTCTTTCGCCAGGATTTGAGGCCTATCGAAGCGAATATAATGGCTTGGGCGGTCCTGACTGTGTTTGCAGACAGCAGATGTTGTATTGCGACGGTGCTTCACATCAGCTATGTGTTCTTTGACCCGGGTTCTAATGGATCTCTTTGTTTGTCCGATGTAAGAGAGCCCACAATCACAATCAAGCTTGTAAACTCCTGCATCTTGTAGAGGGATGTGGCACTTGACAGGTGGTAGAAACTGACTAATTTTCTTTGGCGGCTTGAAGTAAGTTTTAATTGAAGCTCGCTTTAGAATGTAGCCAATCTTGTCAGTGACGCCTCTCACGTAAGGTAGGACTGCAGGGACGCGCTCGACTGTGGCTGGTTTCACTCGGTCCCTGTGACGTAGGCGCGGCACTTGCAGCTTGTTGTCTCGCAGAACTTGCTTGACATGTTGCAGTTCTCCGGCCAGGTGTTGCTCGTCACAGATCCCGCGTGCCCTCTGAAACAAAGATTTTCCCACGGTAGCTAACTGTGAAGGGGGGTGGTGAGATTCACCATTCACAGTTAGCTACCGTGGGAAAATCTTTGTTTCAGAGGGCACGCGGGATCTGTGACGAGCAACACCTGGCCGGAGAACTGCAACATGTCAAGCAAGTTCTGCGAGACAACAAGCTGCAAGTGCCGCGCCTACGTCACAGGGACCGAGTGAAACCAGCCACAGTCGAGCGCGTCCCTGCAGTCCTACCTTACGTGAGAGGCGTCACTGACAAGATTGGCTACATTCTAAAGCGAGCTTCAATTAAAACTTACTTCAAGCCGCCAAAGAAAATTAGTCAGTTTCTACCACCTGTCAAGTGCCACATCCCTCTACAAGATGCAGGAGTTTACAAGCTTGATTGTGATTGTGGGCTCTCTTACATCGGACAAACAAAGAGATCCATTAGAACCCGGGTCAAAGAACACATAGCTGATGTGAAGCACCGTCGCAATACAACATCTGCTGTCTGCAAACACAGTCAGGACCGCCCAAGCCATTATATTCGCTTCGATAGGCCTCAAATCCTGGCGAAAGAAAACCGATATCGCCCTAGAATGATTCGAGAAGCCATAGAAATTAAAAAACATCCTAATTTCAATAGGGAAGATGGCTGGGTACTACCATCGTCATGGGATCCTGTTATTAATATAATAAAATCTAATAATAAATCTAAATATAACAGACAGGTAGATGTAGTAAGTTCTTACTGTGTAGATCAAAATGATAGCATTTCTGATTAATAATATTTTTCACTTTTTCATTTGTAAATGTATGTAGTAATGTGTTGCTTAATAATTTGTTTTTTAAATAATAGCAAATTTAAATTTAAATTATTATTTTTTTATTAATCTTAACTTTTTCAAATTACACATAGATCAATTGTGGCTTAAATAATTAATACTATATTTTATATTTTTCTTATGGTTATAAATATAATAATGGCAACACTAAATATAGATTGCTAATTAATATTTTTAAAATTGTAATAATTATAAAAATAATAGCAAAAATTAAATAAATAATTTTCCATATTCAATTATAATTAAAATTATAAAAATATTCAAAGTTAAAATATTGTAATGTAATTGGTGCAATTTTCATTTTGTTAATTGTGGGTAGGCTGTCTGTAACAACTATAATATCTTTAAGACATGTAACACCTCAGTCTCTCCCGTGACCATGGATGCTGTAAAGCATTCGAAACGTCGGGAAACAAAAATACAAATAAATCCGCGACAAAATCCGAAAAGATAGTTTTATTTAAAATGTCAAATATTCGCGTAAATCTAAGAAAGTATTACCCTCAAAGCACTTAACATGAACACTGTAAAGGAGGCCTTCAGGCAGAGAAATATAAAACCCCTTTGGGAAAACACCAGAACTGGCTAACCAGCTAACACGAGCTACCACAACCACACTCTTGCTGGGCAGCCTCTTGGACCCGACATCTACATGCACCAAATTTCATTAAAGTCCCAAATAAGACTGATCACAGATATGGAACAGAAAAAAATATATCTATATCTTTGTGCACAAGACTTTATTTATTTTCATTTTTCATATTTCCTATGCCATATATATATAACCACCAATAAAATAATAGGCACAGAATGGCTGGAATTGGCTAGAGATAGGAAAAAGTGCAGGCACTTGGAGGAGACCTATACCCAAAAGGGGCCATGACTTCTCAAAAAATTAATGTCAAAATTAATAATATTTATTGAATGAAATTATTAGAACTATCATTCATAATGTTATATAAAATAATTTAAATATATTCTTGGTGATGGAAACAAAGAGGCTTATAAATAAAAAATAAATAAATAAAAATATATAACATTTGCAAATTCACATTAAAAAAATCATAGCTTCTAAACTATGAGCAATAGCGGAACATACATGGGGTATTTTCGGATACACCCAGATGGGACGAATCGAAAAAAAAATTGATGACGTCACCTCTTGGACCACATTTTCCCACCACGTTTTCATCTTTTTATAAGTTAAGAGTATTGTGGAAGTTCTTTGAGCATTGCAGATTGGTTTGTAGAACTATTAAAGAATTATAAACTATATATTTAGGTACTACAAAACACATATTTATTCCTACTTCTTTGACTAAAACAGCTCTACCAAAACATAATATCATTTATAGCCTATATATTTATATACTCTGGGATAAAGTAGCTATTTATTAGCAAAAGTATTACTAAAATCTGTTCAGTAGTTTTGGAGTTTATCGGCTACAAACAAACAAAATCCCTCTTTATCATATGAAATGTATAGATTTATTTAAAATTATAACTATTTTCAAAAAACATATTAAAACTAAAAATAGTCACCTTTTCTCCAAGAAAGTCTTGCCATTATTGAAGTTCTTGCCCATAGCGGTGGCTTTCCATGCAAAGTAAGCTCCAGAGGGATCACACTGGAACAGGTAGGGGCGGTCTCCGTCCCAACCGCATATTAGAAGGGACACACCAAATGGACGGACACCACTGAAAAAATAAATTATGCATATTGACATGTGTACCTCATAATACAATTAATAAAAAAAAACAATTATTGTTTAATATTTTAGTATATAACTCGAAAATTAAACCTCAAGATTTTGAGTTTTATATTTATACTAGAATTGCCCGCAGCTCAAATCCAAATTCTTAGGTTTTACAGATTAGTATACCCTTACATTGCAGTTTTTGCATTTTTTCTCAGAAATGAGACATTTTCTCGCGGTAAAAAGTATCCTATATGTTGACCTGGATAACCAGCTATCACCATACCAAATTTCATCAAAATTTCAGTAGTTTTCCTGTGATGCAGTAACAGACTGACAGACAAAAATTCTAAAAACTATAGATTCGTCCTCTGTATCGATAATAATGTTTATTTCAATAAGATTTTCCAAAAATTTATTTAATGTACAGATTCAACTTAGTTACAATTTTATTATTATTATATATATGGACTATATATACATTACAACAATTATTGGGTCTCATCGATGCAGAAACTTATTTTACATTATCATTTTGAAACTTTCTTCAAACCAGGTGAATCAAAAAGTATCTTCAAAAAGTAGTACTTTTTTACCCAACTGCAAGAAAAGGTTATGTTTTTCGCGCCTATCTTTGTATGTTTGTAATATTCTTTATTACCTCATATCTCCAAAACCACTCTATGGATTTCTTTAATTAAGGTATCCTTAGATTCTTCTCATTAGTCCAAGTATTCTTTGATAGATGATATAAAGAAAAATATATGGGGGCTGTTAGATTCCATAATACGAGTATCTCGCAGGAAGGATGAAATGTATATGTCTCCGACTGCATAATACTATATTCCTTCGTGGACTTGTTTTCATCTTTTTAGTTAGCTTTTATGCAAGCTGGTTTTTTATTTTTATAATAATTTTTTTATGAACAATTCCATTACATTACAGTTATCAATATTTGTCTTATTAAACTTATATGATCATTGTATGCACAGAGCGCGTAAAACAGTATTTATATTTTATTTTTTATACAAATTAAATCACTTTATTTTTGGTCAGATTAAATAGTTGACGGCACATTTGTCTCAGTTTGTAGTTGCTGTGCCAGCAGTCACGGGTTCAAGTACGGCTGGGGGCATTCATTTGTGTGATGAGCATGAATTTTTCTACTCCATTCATAGGTGTTTATAAGTATAAAATGTATGTATTTAACATTTTAACTTACCTTGAAACTAGATGTGTGGTGTGTTAATGTCCTAACATATTTATTTATTTTTATAATCTTACCCAGATTGTGTATATTCCTGCATGACAGTGGCTACTCGCTGCACTAGTTGTGCTGTAGGGATGGGTTCCCTATACATTAAAAAATACTGTTGTGCCATTTTCCTGGCCTGAGTTACAAGAAGGCGATAATCAGGACCCATACCAGAATATACCATACCTATAATACAAATATATAATTCATTACTTAAATTTTTTTTCTTGTAACAAAATTTCAATATTTGAATAATATGATTTTGAATTCAAATAATTTAGTAATTTCACTCACCAATATGGCCAGTAATCATCTCTACTTTATTGACACTGTGCTCATCATAAAGAATACTCTTATGCTTGTTTTCAGTTGCTATCACAACACCATTTGAAGCTGGAAATAAGTGTAATATGAATTTAAGTTTTTAATAGTATATTTTATAATTATGTATTTGATAAAAACAATCGGATATATAAAAGAAACAATGAGTAAGCAGAAGTAACCTGAAAATTAGAAAACTTACCTTTAATACCAACGGACGTACCGCCGGCGGCTACAGCAGCTAAAGCATATTCAATTTGCACCAATTTACCTGACGGGCTGTAACAAGACGATAATTGATGCACATTGTAGTTATACTGTTTGTATTAAAACTTTCAAACACCGGCTACAATAAGTAAATATAGAGAGAGATTCAAGAATTTTGATTAATGATATATTATTTAATAATTATAGAACACTATGTTAAAAAATATTTTCGTATAGATATATTAATTAATTTTACCTAAAAGTTGTTAGAGAAAAACTATAACGTTCAGACGCCATGATTACAAAGCAAATTGTCAAAATTACAGTCAAGATAAATTCGCTCCGTCATATTGCCAGTACCAACGCTTTCTTTGACAGTAAAACTTCGTTCAAAAAACAATTTATTATAAACATATAAATTTAAATTATAAGCCTACTTAGATAACTAATTTCAAAATAAAGTAATACTATACGTGACTTTTATAATATTATGCAGTTGGTGTTTAATTTCTTTTTAATGTGAACAGTTTCTTTAAAAAATTCTAAGCAAAAAGTTTAGATGTCAAGGATTAAAAAATCCGACTTCTTGTCAATTGCTTCAAAAATTAGCCAATGGCAGATAAGAACCTTCGCTCAATATTTTGAGTTTTGACTGTATTATGTACCTATCGTAAAAGATTTGTGCTATTTCTAATTCTGAATGATAAAAAGGCGTGGATTTCGTTATTCGATAATAAATAACCATCATAATGTCACACCTCCGCGGAACCTCACCGTTATCCGAAACAATGTCCGATACGTTAGAGAGGAATCGTGGGGAGAAAGCACATTTAACTAAGACGCCTTCTCACAGTCAAGTATTTTTACATAAAACGAATACAAATTTAATTAAAAGTTACGCCGATAAAAACGAAAATCATGTAACAAAGTCCTTACAAAAAGGACGGAAGACATTTGCGTTTTGGACTCTCCTTTGTTTGTTATTTGTGCTGGCTATTGGGAATTTAATTTTAACTTTCACCATTTTAGCAGTAGTGAGACTTGGAGATGGTAATTATCTATATTTTTTTTCATCTACGGTATTCTCCTTAAAATAGTCGGAATACCTAGGCCTCCTGAGTAAAAGTGTTCTGTGACCTAGGCTATGACATCACTATCTCAAATCTATTCTGTAAAAATATATTAAAATTGAATGTTGATAGTACATAATAACTTTAAATTGTTTAGTTCTTAGCATAATACAAGGAAATCAATAAAAATTTTTTAAATATTTTCTAGGTTTGGAGAGCATGGAGTTCTTAACAGAACATAATGCTATAAAGTTTTTTGGTGAAACAAATTTAGACCATGTTTACAAAAGAGATGGACTGATTGAAAGCTTTCAAGACACACCCATGAGTATAACCAGCGAGAATGGATCTGTGTTATTTAATTTATTAACAAGGTCTGGCTTTTATTTATTTTTTGTTTTTGCTTATTAATTTAGGTATATGTTATATATGTAAAATAGCTATTTATCAAGTATTTCATATTATAAGAATTGTATACGAAACCATAGAGTTGGAAGAAAATTTAAGCTGTGTTAACAGGACTTCTGTCCTCTTTCTTTAAGGGTGCATGAGGCAGCGAAATGAAATAATTGTGTTCATTTAATCCCCTGCTGTATTGTTAGTACTAAAACTTTAATAATGCAATTAATATGTAGGATATTTAAGGATTTATTCTATAAACCATACACTAGAAACACCATTACTATTAGTTTCTTTGATAGAAAAAAAATCCAAAATGATATCTAAAAACAAAATAAACCCTCAGTGCGGCATAAATAATTCAAGGAAGTTCATCCATTTTTTAATAATAACAAAAGTATATGTTTTCTATAACATATACACTTTACATTTTCAAAATGTGTATTTGTTTTAATAATATGAAGGCAATACCCAAGTTTGCACATGTTCCGTCCATACTAGCCACACTCCCCCCTGCCCGCTTTCACCCTTCTAAAATCAATTAGTGCCAAAAGCTCGGTGCCTCGTTAAAGATAGACTTTTATAAAAACAAAAATATTTTCATATTTTGTATTACTTACATATTTTAATTGTGTTTGTATGTAAAGTTATCCTTTGTCAACATTTTGTTATTTTATTTTGTATAACGTATATTTTATGGTACATAAATAAATAAATAAATAAATAAATCATTCATACTGAAACATACATGCACATAAATTGTAAACATTCATGTTAAAAGTATAAATATATGACTTAGACATAGAAAAACTATAGTATAGACTATAGTCTGGATATCTATATATTTTTTCCTAATAGTTAGTTTTTTCTAATAATTTGAAAGGTTCATTTTTATACATCCTGCATAAATGGTTGATCTAGGATTAGAAGAATTTATGTTTTTATCATAATTTGGATCCCTCCCTTCTTCTTGGTGAGATTTAGTGAGATTTGGTGTCTATAGTTTATTATTATTTTTTTAAATTTAAATTTATTGATATTTTTTTCATGTTTTTTGTTAAGATTGTGAATTAATATTAATGCATGCTGTATCCATGCATTTAGGATTAACTTACATTGTGTTTTTAATTTAAAAATAATGTTTCAATGGAATTATCACCAGTGAATCCAAATAAATAAATAAAAATAAAATAATATTAGAGCTTAGTCCGCCAACCCGCACTTGGCCAGCGTGGTGGACTATGGCTTGATCCCCCTCGTATTGAAAGGAGGCTCATGTTAAAAAGGACAGTATATAATATTAGAACTTATGAAATCCAATATCCTTTTTGTAGACTTTCCCGTTCAGACACAAAGCTAGTGGTGAACACGTCAGGTATCTTCATCAAAGGAGTACATTCATTAGAGTTGATGGACCCTGAAACTGGGGAGCAAGTGTTCAGCACGGCCAACCCCGAGGTTACCATTACTGATGTCATAAAGAATTTACATGCAAAGGTAATAATTTGAATAAATCATTATGTTTAGGAGTGTATAGACTGCTGTAATAGATACAGAATCCACACACAAAAATATCTCAAGCACTTTATTTTAGTACATATTATAGTAACGAATATTACAGACACAATATGTCAATGTAGTTGACAGTGGGTTGGCTCGCTCTCTTGGGTACCTCAGAGGTGAACAGTCATATCTACATATTAAGAAGAATATTAAATAATAAGAAACAGTGCTGCAATGAAAATATATTAAAATAAAATACACCAAAGACCTGAATGTTGTTTTTATTAAATAAAGAACCAACAATATACATATTATGTTAATTAAAAAAAAGTGTAGATCAACGCCATCTACTGTCTATATAAGAAAACAAAAATAGCAGGAATTAGGCTATTCAATTTATTTCTATAAGATTTCTATAAGGTAGTGGTAGCTCAGTGGTAACACCCTTCTTGGGAAAACCAAGTGAAGCACGTTTGAATCCCGGGTCACGCACTTCTGATATTTTCATGTGCAAATCAAGTTTAGTTATTAAGTCTCTTATTTAAATAATTTGGATAGTCTCAGATTCAAGTACTAAATTATTGTTATTTACAAATATTTCAGCAAGTATCAACCAAACGGATCTCATCACCTGTGGACGAGGACCTGACCTTCCGCTCCGAGACGTCAGCCTACCTCCGAGGGTCTGAAGGCACCCACATGGAGTCCAAGGAACTGTATTGGAGTGCAGACCAGGATATCTACCTGAAGTCCATCAACGGTTCAGTAGTGCTCAGCGGAAAGGAGGGGGTCTTCATAGATGTGAGATATCTTCCCATAGCATTGCCATTGAATAAGGAGAAATACCATGGCACAGGGCAGTTTAAGGTGTGTGTTTGTATGCCACAGGGCAAGTTGTTCAGGATAGCGGTGCCTAACGGATTGAAAGTGACATGTTCTCATGTCAATATGACTGGAGAGTTGAATCCTTGCGCTTAATCAATGTGTCAGATATGAGTTTTAGATGCAATAATTGTATGGCACTTAGTTGTATTGGTGTTTCATCATATTATGTCTTTATGACCTCGAGCCGTTTTCGCGGAACAGTTAAAGTAATAAGAAGTTAGAAATTATTTTGCCGTCTCACTCACTCCTTAGCAATATATTTTAAACTAGCATTGCCCGCGGCTCCGCCCGCGTTCAGATGACCAAAAACCAAATTCTTAGGTTTTACATATTAGTTTATTCTTACATTGCAGTTTTTGCATTTTTTGTCAGAAATAAGATATTTTCTCGCGGTAAAAAGTATCCTATATGTTGGCCCGGATAAACAGCTATTATCATACCAAATTTCATCAAAATCCCTCCAGTGGTTTTCCCGTGATGCGGTAACAGACAGACAGATAGACAAAAAATCTAAAAATTATAGATTCGGCCTCTGTATTAATAATAATATCTATTTCAATAGAATTTTCCAAAAAATATTTAATGTACAGATTCAGTTTTTAGTTACAATTTTATTATATGTATAGATATATGTTGTGTGTTGTTAAATATTTATTTTTATTATATATTCTTAGGTATAATCATTATTAGTACCTGGCTACTTTGTTAATAGTTCATAATTTCTGAAACCTTTTTGTATCTATATTATGTAGACTTACAGTCTTGAGAGATTAGGATAATAAAGTTGAAAAATATGGCGACCTCTTTATTATAATAAGGGAGTTTAAACACTATAAATGCAAAAATAGATGTTTTGGATTCCCTCTTCTTTAAATGGAATAAGTAATATGTACAATAGGAGTAAAGAAAATCATCTAAATTAAATGTCGATAGATGGCGTTATATTATGTACATATGTATCGATTTGTTATTAAAATTCTGTATCCTGAGATTAGCGCGTTCAAACAAACTCTTCAGCTTTATAATATTCTTATAGATGTTATCGCATGAATATGGCCAAAAGTTAAAAGATGTGTCGGGTTGTTGAAGTTAACTTTATTAATTAATTTTTAATTTGAATGTCAATAATCAATATCAAGTCGAGAAACGATGCTAGTTTAATTCCACTGTATGCCTTTTTTTTTAGTCCACTTATTCATTTATTCCAAAAAGCATTTGAATATTAATTTATACAAAAATGTATGGTGTTCAAAAAATTATATGAAAAGTTACTGAAATGATTGTAGAAAAGTATTGTTTATGGGTATTTTATATATAAATAACAGAGCATTTGGTAAAGACAGAATGTCATATATGTAGATAGCGAGACTGCCTGTATGTATGTTTGTATGGGTTTCACAGATTATGCTCGAGCTAGAGTGTATGTGCAGGTTTTGTTGATATGATCACATGTATATTAATGTTGTGTGCAGGCGATAGAAAATGTAAGATGGTGGTAATCTAGTCAAATAAAATGTTTTTATATACTGAAGTGTTTTTATTTTATGTTCTATATCAGTTTATTGAGGGAGATCCTTCATTTTATTATTAACTAGCGACTCAACCTCGCTTCGCTTGGGTTCGTCCCTAGGTTGATTTCCCATATAAACTTTCATCTCCATTTTCACCATCTTAAGGGATGATTTTCGGAATAAAAAGTATCCTATATCTCTATTAGAGATAAGATAACTAATACCCGACTTTACCAACGTCACCTAAGTTTAAGAGATCCCCTAAGCATGTTAAGGGGCTGTTAGGGGACAGTTTTTGTTTCACCGACAGTTAGGGGTCGCCTAAATGTTAAAAGGCCCCCTAAATTTAGGTTCTCGAAATATGGGCTTAAAGATGATCGTAAAACGAAATTTAATTTAGGGGCTAGTTTAGGGGACTATTAAACTAGGGATCCCATACGTAGGTGGTAGCTTATGGGTTGTTGATGAAATCGGGCATAAGTATCCTTAATCAAATATAATATATTTAAACGAACAATTCTTGTATATTATAGATAATCTGAATTTCGGAAACGGTTCCAACGATTTTCGATCAACGATAGTTTTATGTCTGGGAAAATGCGTGTTTTCGAGTTTTCATGCGATTTTGTTTCGCATTATTCCACGCAAAATATGGTCGCTAATTCGAACGCTAGGACATAAGTAGACATGCGTAGGTCCGGATTGAATAGTTCCCGGAACTATGTCTTAGGCCGGAACGATATCGTTCCAATCCGCGATGTCAATTGAAACAGGTTCACAGTTCCATATAGTTCCACATGTGCAGGAGTGAGATGGAGCGAGTAAACGAATATATTGGACCGATCACCGGAGCGACTGACTGAACTGAACGTAACCGACTCCTCCCGAACCTACCCGAGCTATAGCTGTATATTAAATTTTAAGGTGCTTCCTTACAAGAGTTAAATTTTTTTAGTAAACATCTGTTATGCCGCGTCCACATGCTGGGTGCTTGCCACAAGCACCGAGAATCAAACACGTGCCAAACACCGAACACAAACTAAATACATTAAATAAATAAATAAAATTAAAAAAGCCTTTCATTTCTTGCACTTACTAAAAATGCTATTAAAAACAATTTAAGAAAGTAGGTATTAATTAATTATTAATAAAATCCTTTCATATTCAGTTATATTATAATAATAGTATTAGATCTAATGTTATATTAATTATTATGTATATAAAGAATGTTTATTAATTTAAACTTTTTTCTTTATTTTTACAATACTTAATATGAATTAGTATTTATATTTAATAAAAATAATAACAATAAATAATTAAAAATTCAGATCAATGTATATAATAAAATAATTCGAAAATATTTGATTAGGTATGTATAGTAAATGAAAACTACCAATCAGTTATTTTTTACTTTTTAGTGCTTTTGTTTGAAGTCGGTTTTTATTTTTTTGTTAAAAAGTTTTTATTTTTCCCTTTTTAGTGTAGACAGTTACTGTCTTGTAGTAGCGAAGTAAGAATTCTAACGTGTTAAGCTTGTCAAATCAAACAAAATAAGCCCAAACTCAAAGAATCTACTATTAGCCGTTGAAGAGTTCCACCTATCCACCTTCTGGCCTTACCATCAGATCAGGTCAACAATACCGAACCACTGTACTATTAACGGAAATAGAAACACTTGCAAAGTTTCAAGTCAATATGACAATTAAAAGTAGGTTAAATTCATCATTAGCTATTTTTCCACCCTTAGGTGTGGTATTTTTTTTGAAATTTAAATGGGACCAATCTGGAAGTATACACTTTCAAACGACACAAAAATTATCCAAATCGGTTAATAAATGACGGAGTTCTGAGGTAACAAACATAAAAAAAATACAGTCCAATTGAGAACCTCTTCTTTTTTGAAGTCGGTTGAAAATAATTCATAAGTTAAACAATCATTTACAATATTTTTATTTATTTGAAGTAGTTTTTTTTAACTTTTTATTTTCCATTTTTAGTGTAGATATAGTAGGTACCTAGAACCAAAGAGGTCAAACAATAAAAAAATATATTTATATGTACGTGTCGAATTGAGAACCTCCTTTTTTTCGTGGGTTTAAAATGATTTCGTGTTAAAAAATGTTAGGTATGTGATGTTATCTGCTGCACTGCTGTGTGGAAGCGCCATTTTATCGCGTAGGTACTGTGTGTAAACTACTGTAGTGACTAGTGCGTGTGCGAGTAACTCGCAATATAATGTCATCTCTTTCTTACTATGCTATTACAATTATTAATAATGTGCCAACTTCACTGTGCGTTAAAGTCGATAATTCTTTGATTAAATCTGATTTTCGTTTTGAACTTAAAACATTAATAATATATTATTAAATTTTAACATTCTTTATTCACTTTTGACCCAATATTTTTGTACTTTGTTGCGTTCGTCTAGATTAATATTGCGCGCGAATGCACCATAATAGTTTTTTGATTAGTACTTACTTTTGGTTTCGGAGCGTTTCGAAAACTATTTATATTAACTTAAAACTAAATTGAGAAAAAAAATAAAACTAAATGAGACACATGTAGCCGATTTGAGGCTTCTTTAATGTCTGAATACATACTCGGCCGGCGGATGCCGGGTGGGCCGACCAGACGCTGAGTTTGCGTCTCTCTTATTCTATGTAAATCTTAATCTAAAGCGGATGGACGAGGTGTAACCATAACTACTTTCTTATTAAAAAATATATTACTTAGATATTTGTTTAAACACTCGTAAATATTTTTGTGAATAGCATAGTTTTGTATATATATATATATATATATATATATATATATATATATATATATGTAAAATAGTTTTATTGTTAGTAATTGTGTACATACATAAGTACTTTTAAATGTAAAAATGGCGTCCCGAAGAAAAACCAGCATACTTTGGAACCATTTTATAGAAGAGGAGTCATCAAAAAAAGGAAATGTAATTATTGTTCAGAAAAGATTTCTTTTACAACTGGCAGCTTAGGTAATTTGACTAGGCATTTAAAAAGAAAACATTCAATAATACCTATAGCATCAGTGGAACGACAAGTAACTGTTAATGACAATAATGTTAGCGCTCAATCTGTCCATCCTCGGCTTCCTCGCACAAATATTGAGCACGAGCAACATCACGAGCCTCAATATATTATACCATCTAATTCAAATTCGGCATCTTCGTCATCTGTCTGCGCAGTACAAAAACGCGCTGTACAACCCAGCATGGACGGGTTTACTCAAAGACCCCTACCACCCAATAAAAAAATAAAAATAGAACTACAATTGATTACAATGATCGCTAAAGAGTACCATCCACTGAATATTGTTAAAGATTCAAGAAATTCGTAGCACTATTAAACTCGTCTTATAGTTTGCCTACTAGGAAGACACTATCTGAAAGTCTGCTACCACAACGATACTTACAGCTTAAGGAGCAAGTAAAAAATGAAATTTCAAAGGCTCCCGCCGTCTGCATTACTACGAATAGCTGGACCTCTTATAATAATGAGAGTTTTATTGCCATCACTGCACACTATAATGACCCAGAAGCGGGTCAGTTGTGCGCAAATTTACTCGGCTGTATAAATTATGACGAGAGCCATACGGCCGCTAATCTTTGCCAGTTTTTAAAAGACGAACTGAGGCAGTGGTAGATAGAGAATAAAGTTGGAGTTATTGGCAGCGACAACGGGGCGAATATACTTGCAGCAGTTCATTTGGGAGAATGGCGATCATTAAGTTGTTTCGCTCATACATTAAACATAATAGTACAAGCTAGTATTGAGACAATTTCCGATACGGTAAAGAAGGTCAAACGCATCGTAGAATATTTCCAAAGGAGCACGACTGGACTAAACAAATTAAAATCTGTTCAAAAACAAATGAATATGAGAGAGTTAAAATTAAAACAAGACGTGAGCACAAGGTGGAACTCCACTTATGATATGTTGGACCGCGTAGTAAAAATAAAAGATGCCCTAATAGCTACATTGGCATTAGTTAGAGCTGACTTAGCTCTATCTCTCGAAGACTGGACACTAATTGAAAAAGCATTACCAATTTTAAAAATATTTTACGAAGTTACAGTGGAGGTATCAGCTGAAAAATCTGTTAGTCTTTCCAAAGTCATAGTTTATTGCCGGTTGCTTAAGAGGCAAATAACGTACCGCTTATCACAAGCTGAAGCTGCACAAGATAACAGCAAGATATACACGATGTTGCGAATGTTAAATGAGCAATTACACCGGCGATTTAATTCAGTCGAAGGCAATACGCTCTATGCTGAATGCGATATACTGGACCCTAGGTTCAAGGGCAAAGGTTTTTGAGATGAAAGCATTCTTCATTACTATCACTTTCATCCCCTAATTCACCCCCTTAAGGGGTGATTTCCGATATAAAAGTATCCTATGTCCTTCCCAGGGTCTCAAACTACCCCCCCAACGTGCGTTCACCTTGTCGTGGTGGGGGGGCTCAGTAGTGTACTCGCGAAGCCAAGAAACGCACAGGGAGGTGGCCCGCTTCGGTGGGCGGTGGGAGGCGGCCTTCTTCGGAGGGTGGTGTACCATGCGGGTTGCTCCTGGTACTTCTCTGATAGCAGAGTGGACCGTGGAGCAACCCCATGGTTGTTGTGGTCTGCTTCGGCAGACCTGCCGTCGGGGCGTCGTAGTTGAATGCGTAAGCGATCCTGCGACGCCCCATTAAGACGGGGGAAGGTTTTGTTGGGTTTTAGTGGGTAGTACTGGCTTCGCCGGTGAGTCCCACACTTCGTGCGTAAATGCATTTCCCAACGTTAAAAAAAAAAAAAAAGGGTCTCAAACTATCTTCTTACCAAATTTTATCTAAATCGGTTCAGTAGACCCAGAGATTACCCCCTACAACGTCACAAACTCACAAACTTTACACTACTACTTTTACTATTACTTTTGACGACACATTTGGCTCAATTTGTAGTGACCCTACTTGACGTGCCAGCGGTCGCGGGTTCGAATCCCGCTGGAGGCATTCATTTTTTATTTTATTTTTTATTTATTTATTTGGATCCACTAGTGATAATTACATTGAAACATTTTAAAATTAATTACACAATTTAACTTAATCCTAAATGCATTACCTTTTAAAGTGGATACAGCATGCATTAATTTAATTCACAATTTTAAATTTTGATAAATTAAAATATAAATAAAATTACAATAACATCACTACATATAAATAATCGGAATTTGAAAATAAAACACATACATAAAGCCTGTTAAATAATATAGAATCATTAAACTTCAAAGAATAATTAATTGAATAATTAAAAAAAAAATCAATAAAAAATATATTGAGACATTATTAATTTTGTATAAATTACATTGCAAATGCCCTAAAATAATTAATTGTTAAATTTAAAATAAGTAATTGTGCGATGAGCATGAATGTTTGTACTCCAGTCATGGGTGTTTATATTTATAATATGTATGTATTTAAAGTTATATATGTGTAGTGTATCAACTATCTGGTATCCATAACACAAGCCTCTTAGCTTACCATGGAACTAGATGGTGCTGCGTGGTAATGTCCCAACATATTTACCTCTTTATAATATTAGTTTAGATTTACACTGTTATTTACAATAAAGTTCCATGAGATGATAACGTAAATTAATTTTGCATAACAATAAGGCATCAGTATTTTTTGTGGATGTGTGATGTGGATGAAGTAAGCTAACAATAAAATAATTGTACAAAATCATTTTTTAAAACAAGCTTTTATTAAAATGCTCTAAAAAGAAAATAAACTTTAAATTAAATCAAACCCATCAGTTTATCACATGACACATTTTATATGATACTAGCGGCATGTCTTCGAGTCCCGAAAGCGATAAATTAGGTATATATTATTTAGACGTATAATATATAACTGGTCAACAAAAGAAAAAATATTGTTTGTTTCCTGTGATTTTTTTTATGTTTCTATTTCAATTTGATAAGTATTTTTTAAATATGCAAACAATTTTTCTCTAACAGCTTTTGTTTTTGAGTTATAGCTAACTACTCTTAATTACTATTTTTACTTAGATTTTCGTTTTTTGTAGGACACTAAAATATATTTTGCTATTGATTTCGATATGGTTTCGTCAAGAAAATGCTGTGTACTTAATTCAGATTGTTTTTGCTATATTTGTGGCGAATATATATTTGAAAAATATCGAAAACTTATATCGGACTTTGTAAAAACTGCGTATTATCAACACTTTAAAATAAAATTGTGTAATTAGGACAAGCCATGGGTTCCTCATTTGTATGCTAGAAATGTGTTGTGTATGTGTATGTATGTGTTATGGTCAAGTGGAAAAAGAGATACAATAAAGTTCGTAACACTTATCATTTGGCGAGAACCTCGAAAGCACCATGATGATTGCTACTTCTGTGTTGTGAAAATAAACGGAATTAACCCTGGAAATCGAAGTAAGTGGTCATATCCTACTAATACCTAACTTATCCATCACTTCATAACAAAATCGGCATAATGAAACAGTTTGTGAAGGCGTTTGACAAAAGTGACGAAAATTTCACTTTTGTTTCACATAAGTTTCCAGGATTAAGCACAGAAAATTTAATAGCCGATATTTTTGATGGACCACAGATTAGGCAACTCGTGGAAGATCCTAATTTTGTCAAATCAATGACTGAAGTTGAATCCCAAAGCTTGGAACTCATTTTATTTTGGTAACCTTGTTAACAAGAAATCTGACAACCATGTCGAGCTAGTTAAGTGCACACTATCGAACTTACAAGAGCTGAGGTGCAACATGAGCATAACAATCCACTTTATGCACTCGCTTTAGACCGATTTCCACAAAATTTGACGGTTTTAATGAGGAGCAAGGAGAAAGATTTCATCAGGCTATTCGGACAATGGAAGAGCATTATCAGGGAAGGAGGGACTTACATATAATGGCATACTACTGCTAGAATTTGCAACGAGATCTACCTAAAGCCGTTCATTCAAGGAAATGTTATAAAAGATCATTTGATTGTGTTAAATAGAAATTTTGCTAACATATGTATTAATTTCCTTGTATTTTTAGTCAAAACAATAAAAGTCTATATATCAAAAAGTAAAGCTGTTAGCAATCTCCCAGTATTTTTTTTGTATTCAGGGCCATAGAAATACCCAATAACAGTAAAAAATATTAAGGAAACAAAAATTGTGTTGACCAGTATAATATAACAGTAATTTAGAGAAATCTGCACAAGAAATATTTTTATAAACAATGACTGTAACGTATAATGTACACAATACAGATACCAAAACAATAGTTATTAAAAATTTTGTCTATTTGTCTGTTTGTGGGTTCGCGTTTCACGCAAAAAGTACTGGACCGATTTTGCCTAAATTTTGTGTAGTGATAACTTATTAGTTGGGTCAACATTTAGGATATCTTTTACTACAGGAAAATCTTTTATTCCCACAGGAAAATACAGTAACTGGTTCTATAATATATTCTATAATAAATCGAGTCTTTCTGTATAGTAAGTCTCAGTAACAGTCCGGAGTCGGGAAGTTGGCGGTGTTTCACCCCCGTGCCTCGGAGAGCACGTAAAGCCGTCGGTCCTGCGCCTTAACTCTCACTGGTCGTATCGAACAGTCGTCCCACCGGAGTATGAGAGTGACAGGAATAGAGAGTGCACGTTGTGTCTGCGCGTACACTTGTGCACTATAATATCTCCTGCGCAGTTGGCTAGTCTCAATGAGATTGGCCGCCGTGGCCGGAATCGGCTAGGAGAACATCATATTCTATAATATTTCATCTTTTTTAGAAATCAACGCTTCAAGCAAATTTTTTAGGAAGAAAGGACATTTTTCGGAAGATGTCAAATTAAAAAAGTAACCGCGTGAACTTGAAACAAATAATTACTTTTTAAAATAATGATTCTAGAGGTAATCTGAAAACTCTGACAATAGTGTTAACTTTCTGCTGACGTAACGTGAGATTACACACGTGCTGCCTGACCGTTTCTAAGAGCACGTTTTATCTACACCGAACAAATATATTAAAATGGTCTTTCTAGTCATGATATTAGTCGACTATCTATAGAGGTTACAAGTCAGGTGTATCTGCGATGGAGGAGCACAGAGACGACGGTGGTGATATTGTGCAAAGCGATTCGTTCGATCAATTGGCAGCGCGCGAGGCCGGCGGCCGCCACACACGCGGCGCGCGGCCGCGCGGGTCGGCGGGGGCGCGCGTGCGCGGCTCGGCGGCGGCGGCGGCCGGCGGCGCCGCGCTGCAGTGTGCCGCGGCGTTACGTCACGCGCGCGTCGCCGCCGCCCGCTCGGCTCGCTCGGCCGCCCTCAGTCGCCCCTCTGCCCGGTCCGTTGCTACTCGTCGCGCGGTCTGTGCAAACGTCCTATGCTGTGATAATGTTACGAAGCAGCACATCGGTTGCCGCATTTACGGCGAGCTTAAAATGTTATCCGGTTGTAATGAATAAAATGAAATACTATCGTAAATTATGTGCCATTTATAGGTATTGAATGAATAATCACATCAGTATTGTTGACATGAATGTGACTTAAAAGTGTGCGCCATGTGGAAAATGAGGACGTTAGTCATGTTTGTTGTATAGTGTCGGTGATTCGTCACTGAGGAGCACGATGTTCGGCAGGAGAGTAACGTCGGCAGAGTGTTGGGGCCTCGCGGGCCTGGCGCTGGCGGTGGCGGTGTGGGCGCGCGGCGCGGCCGGCGGCTGCGGCGTGGCGGAGTTCGCGTGCCGCGGCGGCGCGTGCGTGCGCCTGGACGCGTACTGCGACGGCGAAGCGCAGTGCCCCGACGGCAGCGACGAGCCCCCGAACTGCTCGGTCTGCAATCGCACGTACTACGGGCGCATCGGCGTCGCATACGGGCTTGCACTGCGGGGAGCGCCGCGTGCGCCCTTCCTCTGCCACCTCACGTTCACGGCCGGAGGCAGCTCTCATGGAGATTTAGTCCAGCTCGCCTTCGATGAGTTTCGTGTGGGTCGCTACGAGGCCGGCGCCCTGGACGGCTGCCCCGACGGCTACATGCAGCTGTCCGAGCTGGGTCGCCCGTTCACTGGTGGCTCGTGGTGCGGTTCTGCCGAAGGTGTAGCTTTATATTACAGTGAAACGGCCACTGTCACTGTTTCTGTTAAATTGTTTCGTGCACGTCTCGGTGAACCTTTTGGGTTTCGATTACGGTACAAGTTCCTTGCTCAACGCGATGCTATTGTCAGGTAAAATTATAGAATTCCAATACTTTTCATTATATCTACCATAATTATTATGATGAAGTTAAAAGTTACGTTATCTACATTATTCATGTTGTTTTTTTTTAATTTATGTTGAATTAGAAAATCTGAAGAGTATCTATTTAAAACGTAATGTTTTTTTTAATATCATTATTTACATTTTGAATAAACTTGATTTTTTGGAACATTAGGCAGTCTTTTATTTAGATTTTAGAAAGAGAATTTATTTTCTCGTATAGATTTGGCGCTCTGGAAGCGCCGCTGGAGCGTGGCGCGGTGTCGCCTGGCACGTACTGCACTCGCACTTATGAAGAGTGTCATCGTAAATCTTGTCGCTTACAAAGTCCCAATTATCCCGGCATGTACCCAAGGTAACAACGTACAATTGAATACGAAATCAACTTCGCCATTAATTCATTGGTCTATAATACTATTTTTTCTATTATCCGACAGAAATGTGACATGTTACTGGAGTTTACGTCAAAAAGACATTCCTACCTGTAAACATGCAATGATTTCTGTACGTCAAGAATATTCACATAAAATGCAAATAAAACGTTCGATTTCAATGGCCAGGTCAGTAAACTATCTTTTAACTAATTTTAATCAAAAGTACTCATGGACACGTAGCGACACGTGTTCATGTAGCACTATGGTACTGATTACCAACACGTTAGAAGGCTCGAGCTCATTTTCCACGCGAGCAACGAGTAGACTTGGTCGCTTCTTAATGTACTAAAAGTGTATCAGAGTGTGGGATCTTTTTGGTGAAGTTTCTTTGAGATAGATTTGTTTAATTTGAAAGACTAATACATCTTTTCCCTCTCTTTCCTTTGTCTGTTAAATTATCTTTGTGTAATTTGTTGATTGTATTGACAAAACATATAGTATAGATAGAAATTCAAACAGGTTTTTTTTTTAAATCGAAGATTCATTTAAGTTCGTGTAGGGATAAAATATAAATGTGTAGTAAATGTATATAGGTTATACTATAACCATTTTTTTATTACACAGTAAAAGTTCTTTATTCACGGTTCCGCTATTCACGGATACGTAACTTACGATTATGTATAAGTACAATTTAAAAAGAGATAATATTCATTGTTAAATGTTGAAAGTTTTAAATAAAACCACACCATTCCTTAAAATACCCGACAGATTAAGTAACAAAACACGTGTTTCGTCAAAATCAAGGAATTAGTCAAGACTTAATGAACGTGCAATGAAAATCATTGTATTTTGAGTAAACAATCGTAAAAGATCGTAAAACTTGATTTTATTCTTCTTCAGTCTTTTGTTTTGTTTGAAAACAGATGTGCTTCCAAACTTTTGGACGGTAGAGTATGACAAATCGCTACGGTTAAAAAAATTTAGCCGTTTTTCCAAAGAAAAAGACTTATTTTTAAAAGAAAAATTGATGAAGCCTCAGCGATATATTAAGCGGAATAAAAACGCTCTTTTATAGGCGGTGAAGCAAGAAAAAAGTAATAAGTATTTCAAACCAAATAGTTCAAACAATAATTGTTAATGTTAATTTTTTTTATAGCACTGTAATAAACTGTTATGAAGCTGTTTTTTTATTTATTACATATATATATTTTTATTACCCTGGAACGCAACCTCTACATTTCCATACAAATCGCCATTTTTACGGTTTCGGTATTCGCGGTATAGTTTTGGAACGTATACCCCGCGAATAAGGAGCTTTTACTGTATATTATAATTGCTATGTATGGATTTATTCATCTTAATTAGGTACTATTATCAGTACGAATATAATTTTGTATATATTTGTATGTGTTCTACGTATCTGAGAAATATTTTTTGTTAGATCAAATACCTAAGTATGGTTGCAGCTTAAACAAGACAGGTCGCGCTGTGCGGGCGTGGCGCGAGTGCACGGGCGAGCGCGACCGCCTCATCTTCTACGACGGCGCGTCCACCGACGACCCCGTGTTGGTGGAGTACTGCGGCGGCGACTGGCTGCCGCCCGTGACGTCGCGCGGGCCCGAGATGCTGGTCGCCTTCCACTCCTCGCCCTTCAGCGCGCCGCCCCGCGCCGCCACCCCGCACGCGCCCCTTCGCGGCTTCGAACTGGACGTCGATGTTATATTTGCTGACTCGGACTCACTCGACTATGCAAGGTAACATACTTCTAACACGGAACGTAGTTGTGTGATTTTTGAAATATGTAGTGTATTAATTAGTAATATTATACAATACTTTCTTAGATTTACGCGAATACTTGACATTTTAAATAAAACTATCTTTTCGGATTTTTCGCGAATTTATTTTGATTTTTGGTTCCCGACGTTTTCGAAACGTGAAAAAGTTAAGAATTAAAAATAATAATTTAAATTTAAATTTGTTATTTTTTTAAAAACAAATTATTAAGCAACACATTGTACTACATACATTTACAATTGAAAAAGTGAAAAATATTAATCAGAAATGCTATCAAATAAAACTATCTTTTCGGATGTTTTCGCGAATTTATTTTGATTTTTGGTTCCCGACGTTTTCGAAACGTGAAAAAGTTAAGATTAATTAAAAATAATAATTTAAATTTTAATTTGCTATTTTTTTAAAAACAAATTATTAAGCAACACATTGTACTACATACATTTACAATTGAAAAAGTGAAAAATATTAATCAGAAATGCTATTATGATAGCATTTCTGATTAATATTTTTCAAATTACACATAGATCAATTATGTGACTTAAATAATTAATAATATATTATGAATTTTTCTTTATGGTTATAAATATAATAATGGCAACACTAAAAATGTAGATTACAAATTAATATTTTTAAAATTGTAATAATTATAACAATAACAGCTCAAATTAAATAAATAATATTCCATATTCAATTATAAAGCTAATTAAAATTATATAAAAATGTTTAAAGTTAAAAGTTAAAATAATGTAAGGTACTTCGGTGCCATTTTTCAATTTTTGAATTCATTTTGTTATTTGTGGGTTGGCTGTCTGTAACAACTATATAATACCTTAGAGACATCTAACATCTTAGTCTCTCCCGTGACCATGATTGCTGTAAAGCATTCGAAACGTTGGGAACCAAAAATCAAAATAAATTCGCGAAAAAATCCGAAAAGATAGTTTTAATATTATATACTTTAATAGGGAAGCCCGTCGCTGTGAGTTTCATGTAAAAGCTTCATCTTCAGAAGAAGAGTTAAATTCAACCGCTTTAAATGTCAGAGGTCGCCGAGGACGTCTACACGCACCGACTCACACGTTGCCTCCGAATACGACGTGTACCTGGACTTTTCACGGTCGCCCCGGTAAACTTTTATATTAACATTAATATATTTCAACTGTAGTATGAGCTATGTATAAGGAATTCTTAATCATGTTTTTTCCTTCGTAGGTGATTTAGTGTGGATTTATTTCTCGAGCTTTACGCAGTACTCGTTAGTGGATGGGCGGCGCTCCGAGAGTAGCGAGCGCGAGGAGGAAGTCGCTATCACTGCACCGCCGCGGCAGGGCCCGGACCGGGCGCGGGTGGCCGGGGCCAGTGGGGCCAGTGGGGCTTGTGCAGTGGAGCTGCGCATATGGGACGGAGGTGGTGCGGATGAAGCTGCTGCTCTTTTAGGGCGCTACTGTGATTCCGCACCTTCTCTATGTGCAAGGGCCGCGCTTGCTAACGCAACACGATCTCCTCGTCCTTGTGCTCCGCCAGACGGCTATGTCTCAGCGGCGCCTTTACTGTCTCTTGCCGCCACTACCCTACCTGGTACTGCGACTCATCCGCTTGCATTTGCCATGCACTACGAATTTATAGACGCACGTCTCGAAGGCGCCTTACTACCGATATCGGAAACGCGAGTCCGAGTGGAACCAGCAGAGTGCGCTAGAAGATTAACAGCACCGGGGGCGTTTTCTTCCCCTCGTAATGCTTTATGGTTTGGCCGTGGTGGGGCAAGAAGGATTCGTTGTGTGTATCGGTTACAAGTGGAAAGTGCACGTATCGAGCTACGCCTCTTAGCAGCTGCGTTCGGACGAGAACCGCGCTGTGCTACGCGTCTGGATCCTCTCACCGGGCGAACAGCATGTATACCCGATCCAATTGATCCGCTCGATATGCACCCTAGCGATGCACCACTTGATTTTGATGACGATGAGACTCCTTTACGAGTACCACATTTACGAATTTATGAATCGCCTTGGCCAGGTTATAGGGTAAGTTTATAGACCATAATTATGTATTTTTTATTAACGTTATCGTTGTTTAAATCTACTTTCGTTTCGTATACTATGTGCAGGTACCCGTAGGGTGCATTTGTGACAACACAAGTGCTCCGCTGGCAGTAGTCTCAGGTGGGCCCGCTTTGGAACTTGAATTAGTAGCGGTAGCACTTGCTCCTGGCGAGGACCATCGTCACATTCACTTTCAAGGTGAATGGGCTCGCGCTCACTCTGCTCCTAATTGTGCTGGCCGTCGTCGCCTTCCTCCTCCCGGACACCGGATTCATCTTGTGTATCCGTACAGGTATATTTCTTTTCTGATTAGAATATAATAATTCATATGTATTCGTGTAATTATATGTATAACATACTTGATAATGTTTTTGTTTAGTGGCAATAAAATGTCAGAGTGCGGAGAAACGCCTTTCTTGCTAGCAGCTCGAGGCAATCGCTCAGTATTTTTACGAATATGGGGTGAGGAGCTACCGGCTTCGGCTCCGACTTCTGATGCTCCGTTGTGTCACACGGTCAACCGGATTCTCGTTTATGACGCTTACTCGTCTAGGTACGAATGCTGCTTCTATTCAATTTACATATATTTCTGTATATCCTGTATATATACACAATTATTGAGTTAATATTTACATTTCTCATGACAGGAATTGTTCTAATCTTATAATGATTATTTTAAATTATTTTAATTGTTTTCGTTTCTTAGACTAGTAAAAGCGGTATGCCCGGGCGGGGAGGAGTCCCGCGCGGTGCAAGTGTTCACGGAGGAGTGGTGGGCGCGCGGCGCGGGGCGCGGCGCGGCGCTGCTGGTGGTGTGGGCGGCGCGCGAGGCGGGCGCGGCGCGCTTCGCGTGGATGGAGGTGTGGCGCGCGGCGGCCGGCAACGCGTCCTGCGCGCACGCCTGCGCCGCGCTCGGCGCCTGCATGGCGGGCGCGCTGTGGTGCGACGGCGGCGAGGACTGCCCCGGCGGTGGCGACGAGGCGGGCGCGTGCGGGGCCGGCGCGCGCCTGCTGGCGGCGCTTGGCGCGCCGGCCGCCGCCGGGGCCGCGGGCGCCGCGGGCGCGGCCGCGGCGCTGGTGCTGCTGGCCGTACTGGCGCTGCGCCGGCGCCGCTCGCGCCGCGACAAGCGCCTGCTGAGCGCGCTGGCGGCCGGCCGCCGCCTCACCGAGGAGCTGCTGTACGACGCCTCGCGCGCCTCCTCCGCGGCCTCCTCCTGACGGCGGGAGCGCTCCGTCGAGTACATCCACGTGGACCGCGAGACCACGGTGTGACGGGGCGCCGGGGCGCGAGACTCGCGGCCGGACGGTGCGCGCGGACGCTTGTGATCAATAGTCGAATTTAATAGAAGAGTGTGTCGGGTGTGAGAGGAATGATGTGACCGTAGACCTCATCGTGTTCGCACTCGAGATTGCCAATTTCGAAAACGTCACTGCCGACGATTATCTTAGTGTATTCGAATTATTTAAAATGATGGCGATCCTATTATATACATTTTATGTTGTATTTATTAAAAACGAATATACAAAGTATTAACTAAGTATACATAAAGATGTAAATAAGTGTACAGAACTGTTATTTATCCCTATTGATAGGGCGAGTCCCGAGAGTTTTCTTTTCGAGAGACAGTCATCAGTGCCGGCTCGTGCTGGACTGGGTGAGCGATCGTTCGACTTCTGTTTCGCTGTTATGTTGTCGTTCTGGATGTTTATATTCTATGATGTGTTTGATGAGCTATCCCGTCCCTCGTTTTCACTAAGTTGTGGATCGCTAATATGTAAATTAAATAGTTTAAATCAAAATGACTTTTATTTTTTGATCCGTTGGTAGAAGTGGAATAATCTGTAAAATGTATAATTATATTGTATTTATAATTCACCGAATGATATCTATGCAATATGAAGAATATATGTTACTTCCTTCTTAATAAAAAAAATGATTTTAAAATTTTGCTTTAAAACTTACCGCTCGGTTGAAATTAATTTGTAAGTACTTCTTCTGTAGCGAGAAGCGTAAATCTTAAAAATGAATGTTTATTTAGAAAGTGTTGAACTTTGGAAGTTTGCAAGTTGTTATCGTAATTACAAGGTTTGTCGGAGCTCGGAACTGCTCCGAGGAGGACGGGGTGTGAGGGGGCGCGAGGGTCGCGTTGACCGCTCTACGTTCTACGGGAAAATGTATGCCGAGCGTCCCCTCTGGGACTCGGCAGGCGAGCTGGAAAATTGCGACTACTTGTGTACCTACATATTTTTGAGCGTCGCGCGTCGTTTATATCTCGAGTCGTGGTTATATTATGAGCACTATTTTCTTAATATACGCATATGTTAGAATTGTACTCAAAAGTAAAAGTGCATTATTTATTGTTAAAATACATGGTAGGTAAGAATGATGAATTAGAATTCGTTCATGGTAATCATATTTTTAATTTGGTTCCACTATATCTATATTGCCCCCTATGTAATGAAACTATTAAGTTCTGTGATAACTTGCACGTAGAAAATTCGATGCAGAGGAGCGTATCGATTGAGCAGATACAATTCTCGCCGTCACTAATGAACTGATTACCATTCCCTGTCGCGGTCGGCCGGCGCGCAGCGCACAGCTCTAGCGCTCGTGTCGTTGCGGTACCTTATTTTATATGCACAGTGTACACGTATACTGGATTTAAAAACACCTGAAAAGATACCTAATATATTATATTATAAACGAATTCGCTGCAAGATCGAAGGTCATACTACCCTAGACATCATTGGTAGATTTTTTGTTTTGTTACAATAAATATTTATTAAAAATTCCACAAATACACAGTTAATTATGGGACGTTAAAGGTAGAGAGTTCAAGCGTTTATTTATTGTGAAATGTCTATGTTATGGGTATGTCCTGATTTCCATATGAAAGGTAAATCGAACAATAAATTCAATTAACAGCGGCGAGCGACATTATAGAGTTCCGCCGGCGCGTAAACAGCCGCCCGGGTCCCCCGTCCTCTACGCCGCCCGCCCTAGCTAGCCCGCCCGAGCTGGTATTGGACTCACGCATCAGCTCACATCCGCTTATTATTATATGTGCATGTTTATATTTAAAATATCAACACAATCCAAAAGGATATAAAGCAAAAACTGCTCCTAATGTATCTATTCTTATTTTAAAAATCGATTCAGAAGATTTTTTTTCATAACTTTTCGAAGTTAAAAACAAACGGCATTTTTACGCTTAAACTTAATTACAACAGATGTAGGTGAAGGTCAAATGGAATCGTGTCCGATGAAACAGTAATAATCCAGAAGCGAGTTGTAGAGTAGTGTCGAGAGCGACGCTCGGCGACGTAGGAGCGTGGCGGGCGAGGCGGGGGAGGGCGGGGCGGCGGCGGCGGTGGGCGATGGTTGTGATTGAGAGGGAGCTGAACTTGACACGCGTCGCTGCAGCCGCGCTATCCACTTGAATATTCAACACGCGCCCACATACTACATTGTGATGTTTGTGCAGCCAGCTCGAGGACCGCGTCCCTCTCGTCGCCTGCCACGGTTCATATACTATCGTGCCTTTGAGACATTGATATAACTTTGGTCTTTTTATTGGTATGGCCTTTACGTTATTTAAAAAAAATATAAAGGGATAATTACGACATTTCTTAAGTCATCAATCAATTCGTCTTTTTTTATATATAATGGCTTATAGTTGCGTTAACAGACGCAATCCATTCTGCCAGTGTCACGTTTTGTGAGGAAGAAGACACGAATGAGATTGAGCGGTAATACCAATTCGTGTTATAAAAACGTAAGATGGAAATGACGTATGACATTATTCATGACATTTTAACACCTCCAGGTAAATTTATAAAAAAATAATTGAATTTCTAAGAAATCTATTGTTAACTGTAACGCCGGCGTGTCCGCGGTCGTGGAGGGATTAACAAATTCGTATCGTAATCGTAATTTAAGGGCGACAAGAAAGTTGTATAATTTTGCACCCCACAAATAGAAATTTCATTCACAACGTCAAATCACAAAATTACTTACAAAAGACTAGCATAAACGTCACTACAGTTTTATAGCTTCAAAAGAAGAAAGGAAATGAAATCCAATAAAATCCGTCCAAACACGACATTAAGTATTCTTGTTGGAGTTTGTTTAAGAGAATTCCTTCAAATAAATACCGCGTGAAATCTGGGAGTGAGCCGAGCTCCTGGACCGTCCCCGCGATGCGATGTGACCATGTGACGACCGCAACCTACCCGGGTTACTACAGCAGCTCATCTTCATCCATCGCGTAGTTCGAAACTTTATAATATCAACTAGCGACTCTAGGTACGTTTTAACGGTTAGTATGAAATACAAATCTTTAAATTTCTCGGCTTTTCTGTACTATAATATGCACGTATTATACATATAAACCTTCCTCTTGAATCACTCATCTACAAAAAAAATCGCATCAAAATCTGTTGCGTAATTTTAAAGATCTAAGCCTACATAGGGACTGACACACAGCGGGAAGCGACTTTGATACTATGTAGTGATTACACACGTGTGTTAATAATAATAAATATTTTGATATTATATATATATACAAAATACTTTTTGTCAGATTTTCTAGTAAAACAAAAATTAACAAAAAAAGTGTGTGTGTGCAATCCACACATTGTAGAAGTGAAACTTCAGAAAAGTAATCTACGAGAGAATGAGATGAATATAGAGTATCAGGAGTAGGATAATAATTATAAGGTTTATTTTATTAGAATATTTTTACCAAGTTTAAAAGTTATTTTAAATTTTTTTGACATAAGTAGGTATTATTCAGTAATTAATTTTATTATTTTTCACTTCCTGTGTTATGTATTTTATTTCAAATACCTAATTAAATGAGGCATATTAAGCATATTAAAATCATATTTATAGAATATCACATCTTCTTCTCCCTGCCCATTTCCCAAATTATATGGGGTAGGCGCCGTAAGTCATACTGCTTATTCGTTTTAGCAAAAGTTTTCCGACCAGCTGAATGCCTGACGTCAACCTTCTGTGGGAATGCATTTGTTCACCCGCCATGAAGCAAAGGACCCAATTTGTGATGCCCAGCACGGGGTCCCTAAATCCTTCAGTTATTAATATTATAGTCTATATATGTAAGGACGTTTTGTAACTTTACTTATTTTATTACGAAGTATTGTTGAGCTTGAGCTTCTGTACATTATACATTGTTAAGCGCAATTCAACTAAACCATACCAAGTATATATGTTTTTTGTTTTGCTCATTTTTACTGGCACAAGTAACCAATAAAGCTTTGAATTTTGAAAAAAAAACGGCGGAGGCAAAGTTGTACCTATACCTAATTATATTTGTCAGATAATAACGGATACCATGGCAACATGGCAATGTATTCTATCTCATTCTCCCGGCTTATTCTATCTCATTCTTCCGCCGGCTTAATCCTATATATTTATGTGTTTATTTCTTTTTAGTGTCGCATTTCCGTTTCATCGAGTCTTAAATCACAACTATTCTAAAGAAGTTTCATTTCAAAAATGAGTCAACTTCAAAACTCGATGATATTCATCAATTATTTTGCATGAATTTTTCATTGAAAAATAAATTTTAATACCTACATATTTTTACATAAAATTTAAGTATGCAATTTTATTTCAATGCCACGCAAAGCCACATCGCACACGAGTCTAAGGTCCCGGGGACATACAAAAACTTAACAGCCTGGAATAAGGCCCCGATGAAACCAGGTTGACTCACCGCATTAACAATCAGCGTGCCAACGCGAATACGTACAGTTTTCAACATTTGGAACTTAAGTTACAGACATAAAGCCGAAATTCCTTTATCTTTAAGATATCACAAGGAAGCCAACAATATTCAGCTATCAGAAGGCAGTTCGCCTCTCCCTTGTTATTATATACTATTTACATACGTTTTCACAGACGCAATATGTTTGAGCTTAGATCTATAGTTTTCAGAGAAGTATGTATAGAAATTAGCGTTTTATCCTCGCTTTGCTCGGGCCTTTCTTTGGGTGTTTTTTGCCATACATTTTATTGAGTTATTTATAATGGTCTAGGCAGCGTACACCGATATAGCACCTTAATCATTTTTCCTGATTTCAATTAGGTAAAATTGTTATGATTTTTGACAATAATTTTTACTATATTAAAAACTAGTCACTAGCACAATAGTTATGCAACTCACTATTAGTGTAAGAATTGATAGAATTTGATCTGTAGTTTCAGAAATACCCTACATCCAAACTTATGAACTTTATAATATTATTGTAGTTGTATGTATATGGGCTAAAGTCCAATGAATAAACAAAAATCCAATGCCGCGTGTGCCGTAATTTTTTTGTCAACACTATGTTTTAATTCTTTTCGTTTTTAGTCTACACATAAATACTTTGTAATTAAATGATTTCTTAATAAGTCTTTCGTATCGAGTAGATAACAGTTGTTCTGCACAGTGCGCTTTGTTGCAGAAAATTGTAGAAGTGATTATTTCGCGGATATTACGCGAGACAACAACTACAACACGTCGCAGGCGAGGCGAGGCGGCGCATTCGTCCGGGAACATTTAACGAGCCAACCTACAATGCCTTGAAAATTGCCAAAAGAATATCTTGTGCAGTTAGTTATCAAAGATTCGTCTGTATATTTAAAAAACAAATACAACGGCGTAACTAACTATATTCTCCGAGAATATAGCAAAGAAAATGGATTTTACAATTTGATTTTAATAGCAAATTGAGAGAAAACGATAAATGTTTTAGCTTCCAAAGTGCACCCCAGACTAAAGGGGCTGGCGCACAAATTTGAACAAGCACAGGTTAAATTAAAAGACATTCTAGATAAGAGATGGCATAATTAAAAAGCTCGACCGGAAAATGTTTTGGCGGTCTCGCAGTTAATAAAATGTCAGAAGATATATTCTATAACACCTCCAGGTAAATTTCTAAGAAATTAATTAAATTTCTAAGAAATCTATTGTTAACTGTAACGCCGGCGTGTCCGCGGTCGTGGAGGGATTAAATAATGGTTTATTGTTCTCAGTTTATGCGAAAAGCTAGTGTAGAGAGAGCGGGGGCAGGGAGCCGTCACGTGGTTGCGGATCAAGACGAATATTAAATTGCTTCTTTTCGTCAAAAAAGTCGTGGTAATCCAGTGATGACCCGCTAGCTTGAAAACCAAGTGAAGCAAGTTCAAACCCGGTTTTTGCACCTCTAATATTTTTACAAGCCTTATAGTGAAGGCAACATCATGAGAAAACCTGCGTGCTAGACATGAGTCGAGAGAATTATATTTCCGCAAGACATGTAAAGTCCGCTAGCACGCAGTGGGCCAGCGCGGGGGCGGGCGCGAGCGAACGGCAACAATTAGAGGCGGCCGAATATGAAAAGGATCACAATTTAATTAAAAGCTTTGCTAGGCCGCTGTAATCTTGTTATAAATTTGTCGTGTTTCAAATTTACCAGACTGAATTAGCTTACCTATTCATAAGGCAATTTCTTACATTTGTGCCTGTTGCCTGACGTTTTAAATTTAATAATTTATTTGAACGTTTACTTCTTAATAAAATTATCCACTTGAGGAAATTTAAACAATTTTGAAATATGTGGCGTTGGAGGAAATTTTATACGACTTATTAAGTAACTAGCATTGCCCGCGGTTCCGCCCGCGTTCAGATGATCAAAAACCAATTTCTTAGGTTTTACACATTAGTATTCTCTTACATTGCAGTTTTTGTATTTTTTCTCAAAAATGAGATGTTTGTTAACGATTGTTGCTAGTTAACGAGTCTGATTAACGGAACAACATAATTTTAGTTAAGCTCCAGTTTTACTAATTTTAAAATAATGAGCCATAGACGCTATCGATGGAAGTAGATCGTTAATAGTTAACAGTGTACTGTAAACTGAGACTAAATTCCCACTCGTAGTGAAACTAATCGCGTCCTCAATTTATTCGCAAAGAGTCAGCGAGCGGCTACTGCGCTAACTTGTTAAGTAAAATGAAAGCGGTTGTTCTTTAAACACTACTTACTTACAAGTTACAACCAATGGTGCTCTTATTATTACAAGATTTCTGCACATTCAAATCTAGTATATTTGGGATATTCTACACATTCGTAGAGTATTTTATTCTGCACATCTACTAAAACATTAGAGCATTTGGACGTACAAAAGATTTAAAAATATTATAAGTTTTCAGATAAATGAAAAATTCGAGAACTTTATTCAGCTGTTAAATTAAATTTTGTCAGCATTAAATGTTATGACATTAACTTAATTTGTATTTTATAAAGTTAACAGGCACAACTCAGAAAAAAGTAAAATAAAGTATGTATATTGTATTAAGTTCGAACAGTTTACAGCAAGGTGGCGAGGCGCCGCGCCGTCCGCCGGCTCACGGCTCTTACACTCGAGCGCACAGTGAACACAATATTGTAACGTAATATTATACCGAAAATGAGTAAGTATTTAATTACAAAAGATCTTAGCCACATCCTCCGTCTACTCCTAAACTATAAAATTACATTAGCCCTTCGTAAATTATTTGGAAAAGAATTATGTATTTTTATAGTAACTCAGGTAGAGTTGCCTATAGTTTTAAAAGAAAATCAATATTAATTATGTATGTAAAATACTTAATATAATACGCATAGTTTATTTGAATCACTGTTCATTTATGCCATTCAGATTAAACTTGAAATTGTTGTACAATATATTTTAGATTAAAAAATGTTTTTTTTTTTAAATAATAGAAAATAGGCATCTCACACAGACATGTGGGTAAGTTGCCTATACATAATTATCAGGGAAAGATGCCCGCGAATAATTAGTGCATAATCAGACGTTACACTTTAGACATTCCCCTAATTCTTCACTGCAGTCTTCATGAAACCACAATGACCACACCGTAATCAGTCGCATTTCTTCTTAGTGGCGTTATAATACTCTCCACATACTACGCAGATATCGTTTTATATGCATTTACACATACTACCTGTACTGCCCGACAGCAGGTCTGCCGAAGCAGATTACAACTCATGAGACTGCATCCATGACCCCACGGTCCACCGTGCTGTCAGAGAAGTACCAGGAGAAACCCGCATGGTAAAGCGCCCTCCAAAGTTGGCCACCTCCCTGTGCGTTTCTTCGCTTCGCGCCTGGAACTGCCGGACGTTAATGAGCTCCCCCACCACGACAAGGTGAGCGCACGT